AGCTCACTGCAACCTCCACCTCCCAGGTTCAATCAATTCTGCCTCAGCCTCCCGAGGTAGCTGGGATTACAGGTGCACACCACCATGCTTAATATTTTGTATTTTTAGTAGAGACAAGGTTTCACCCTGCTGGCCAGGTTGATCTCGAACTGCTGACCTCGTGATCTGCCAGCCTCAGCTTCCCAAAGTGCTGTGATTATAGGTGTGAGCCACCACACCCAGCTGGCTTTGTTCATTTAAATAAAAATTTTTTTTGTCTTTGACAGATTGGGTTAATTCAAAAGCCTGTCTTTGAGCTCTTAACTTCTTTCTTCTGCTTATTTGATTCTATTGCTGAGAATTTTCAGTGTATTTTGCATTTCTCTAAGTGTGTCCTTGATTTCCAGAAATTGTGATTGTTTTTTATTTATGCTATTTCACTGAAGAACTTTCCTTTCATATCTGTATCATGTTTTTGATTTCTTTAAGTTGGACTTCACCTTCCTCTGGCGCCTCCTTCATTAGCTTAATAATTGACCTTCTGAATTCTTTTTTGCAATTCAGATATTTTGTCTTGTTTTGAATCCATTGCTGGTGAGCTGGTATGATCTTTTGGGAGTGTTAAGGAATCTCGTTTTGTCATTCTGTCAGAACTGTTTTTCCAGTTCCTTCTCATTTGGGTAGACTATATGAGAGAGAATAGCTAAGATTCAAGGGCTGCTTTTCAGATTCTTTTGTCCCACGGGATGCTCCCTCCATGAGGGGTTCTCCCCCTTCCCTTAGGAATGGAACTTCCTGAGAGCCAAACTGCAGTGATTGTTTTTGCTCTTCTGGGTCTAGCCACCTAGAAGAACTACTGGGCTCCAGGCTGGTACTGGGGAGTATCTGCAGAGTCTTCTGATGCAATCTGTCTTCAGGTCTTGCAGTCGTGTATACCAGCACAGTTTTTTGTCATCTCAGGGAGGCTGCAGTGGTGATCAAGTTTCTTCAAAGAGTCTGTAGATTCTCTCAGCTTATCTAGTATGTTCCTGTGGTAGTTCTTTGAGCAAAAGTCCACGTTATGAGTCTCCACACACTGCTCCATCCATCTGAGCAGGAGCTGCAAGCTAATTCTGCTCCTATCCACCATCTTAATCCAGATTGTCTTCTTACTGTTGTTTTAGGCTTTCTTTTTGTATTTTGGGTAACAGTCCTTCATCAGCTGTGTTTTTGGCAAATATTTTCTGCCTGTTGGTGGCTTGTCTTTTTATTCTCTGACAATGTCTTTTGCAGAGCAGAAGTTTTAATTTTGATAAACTCCAGCTTATTATTTTTCATAAATTATGCCTTTAGTGTTGGATCTAAAACATCATTACCAAACCCAAGTTCGTCTGGATTTTCTCCTAAGTTATCTTTTAGGAGTTTTACAGTTTTGCATTTTATATTTAGTTCTCTGATTCATTTTGAGGAAATTTT